GAGTAGACTGTCCCATAGGGTTTCCTAGGCTGTGATCTTTATGGAAGCAGACCACCAGGTCTTTCTCCCTCAGAGCCGCTGGGTGGGTTCAAACCTCCAACCTTTAAGTTAGCAGTCAAGCACTTAACCATTGTGCCACCAGGGCTCCTTCCTATCTTCTTAGGAAGAAATGTGATCCCACTCTTGAAAAGCCAGTGACTACTACTGTAAAATCCAATATCAACTCATCTAGTTTCTTGACGGCCCATCTATGCATTCTAATTTTTCTACCTAATGCTGATGTTCTCAGATAATGTGTAATTAACAATCTTCCCCCATGAACTTTGCCCATTTCAGTATTACTTTAGGCGTCATTCTTATTTAAAACACCAGTTCCAGTAGCACAAATTTTTTCCAAAAAATATTTTTATTGGTATGGTAAATAATTTTCCATTAAATATTGAGTCAAGCTAAAAGAGTCCTTAAAACATTTTGCTCTGGAATTTGTTAATGATCTGTTGCTAAGGTAAAATGATTGGATATTTTTCAGCCTCTCTCATTCTCAGAAATCACAAGCATTCTTTGAAAAGACAGAAAGAGCTGATTGTAGTATGGAAATAATTCTGGGAAATTATTTATGAGCTTTATACTTCCATAGATACTCAGAGAAAACAGTCATCAAAGCAAATTTCAACATCCTTCAAGAATTCTTGGCTGTTGTATTTTGCCCTTAACAGCCCACTGGGCTTTAGAGCACAAAATTGGATACCTAACTGGATCAGCTACTGATTTTTAAAACACTTACAGCAATTAGCTGCCTAGAAGTGGTCAGAGCGCAATTATATACGCTGTGATTCAGGATAAGTCTGTGGTGTTGAATCAGTCTTCTGTCACCATTGCCAGACACTTTTCACCTATGCAGGTGGTATTCAATGGTGCTAAGGAAACTTTTGGTATTGTTAGCACAGAAAAGTGGTCTATTAATCCTTCCTCCTCCACAAACAACAAAATGTGTGAGATCTCTACGCTAAAAACTACTGGAAGAAATTAATATCTAAATAAATGGATGAATATACCACATTGATGAATCAGAAGGCTCAATGTTGTTACTACATCAGTTCTTCTCAAATTGATCTATAGGTTCAGTTCTCCCTCAATCAAGATTTCAGCTTTTTTTTTTTCCTTGGTAGAAATTGGCCAGCTAATTCTAAATTTTATATGGAAATGCATTTGGCTTTGCATTGCCAAAGCAATTTTTAAAAAGAACAAGTTAGCAATGGAAAAAAATAGAGAATTCGTAAATGAACCCATACATCTAGTCAACTGATTTTCCACAAAGGTGTTAAGGCCATTCAGCCAGAGGAAGGGGAGTCCTTTAAGCAGTTGGTTCTGGAACAACTGGGTATCCAAATGGAAAACAAAAGTAACTTACCACTTAACCCACACCATACACAAAAAGTAACTTTAAATGGATGATAGGCTTAAATGTAAAAGCTAGCATTACAAAAATTCTAGGAGAAAGTAATTTTTACCTTGAGGTAGGCATATTTCTTAAACAGGACCCACAAAACATGTCATTAAAAACTGATAAATGAATTTTGTTGAAATGAAGGCATTTTAGTCTTCAAAAGACACTGGTAAGTAAGAAATAACTGTTAAGAGAATACTTGCATAACATATATCTTCCAGAGGACTTGAATTCAGAATCTATAGTACACTTTACACTCCAGCAGTAAGAAGATGAAGGCAAACAATCAGTGGATAAAATGGGCAAAAAATTGAACGGACACTTCATCAAAGAAGAGCTACGAATGGCAAAAAGCATATGAATTTATGCTCAACACTGTTAGTCATAAGGAAAATGAAAACCCATAATTAGATACCACTGCACACCAGGTGGAATTACTAACATTAAAGTGACTTCCAGTCCCAAGTATTGGAACTATTGTGGGAAAACTGGAGCCTCAGCCACTGCTGGTGTGAGTGTAAAATGCTGCAGCCACTTGGGAAAGCTCTTTGGCAGTTTCTCATACACTTATTGTATGATCCATATGATCCCACTACTAGAGGAGTCCTAAGAGTGGGATCCAGCTATTCCACTCTTAGGTATTTACCCAAAAAAAAGGCAAATGTAGGTCTACCCAAAGACTTGTTCACAAATGTCCATGGAAGATTGAATAAGATCCAAAAACTGGAAACAACTTACACGTCTATCAATAGTGGAATGGATAAATTATAGTATACCCACCGGTGGAATACTAATCTTCAACAACATTGATTAATCCCAAAATCATTATGCTGAATGAAAGAAGGATGATTCCCCCCCAAAAAAGAGTGTGATTCCATTTATATGAAATTCTAGAAATGCCAACTAATTTAGAGTAACAGAAAGCAAGTCAGCAGTTGCCTGGGCATGGAGACTAAAGAAGGGATTGACTACAAATAAGCAGAAAGGATCCTGAAAAAACTGGAAATGTTCTGAATATTGACTGTGGTAGTTATTTCATGGGTGTATACATCTGTCAAACTCACTAAATTTTATACTTTAAAGGGGTGTGTTTATTGTACCTAACTGAACCTCATGGAAGTCAATTAAAAAAGTATTTCGTCCCTTCTCCATGAACAAAAATCTTAGTGTTTTAGTGGTTCCAGGTCCACCAACTCTACTAACTGCAAGCCGAATGTTTTCCTGCAGACAGATATTTTACTAGAAGTCGATATTGCATTGTGGGTGATGAGACACCCTGGGTGTCTTGGGTGTAAGTTTGTGGGGAGGTTACTCAATGACCATAGCTGGCTATGTGTGGACCTCTGTCTCAGTGGAGACAAGTGACAGTACAGTGATTAAACCACCCATGCCTCCCACCACCCCTATGCATACACACACATCTGGAGAATCCATCTTACTTAGAATGCCAAAGACACACGCTCATGAACTGATTTGGGGAAGATGGACAGTCCTGCTG